TGATTTATCCTGGGATCCCCTGACATGAGTTCCGGGGGGAGGGGGCTAGGACATCTGCTGATGTGTGAGCCCCACTGGGGGTGGGGAGCCAGGCGGCCCCTTCTTTGTCTGCGCTCCGTAAGAGGGAGTGTGTGCGGGGGAGTAGGGGCCAGGAGCTCCAGATGTTCCTGACATACATCGTGCCCCGCAGGGGATGGGGGACGCCCCTCCAGCTGCCACTTCACCTGATCTTGTCTCACCTGGTCCTTTGAGGCCATAGACTCCAACCCGCCGTGGTTTATCCTGGTGGAGACACAGAGCATTGCCCGCCCCTAAATAATCCACTGCTCATTGTGTGCTCATTGTGGAATGCTTTGGAAGATACTGGGAGGTTCAAAATTGAAATCTGAAAAGCACCTATAATCTTACCCTCTGGAGAGAACAGATATTAACATTTTGTTCCATTCCTGGAGGAGGAAATGCTGGGTCGAGAGGGAGGTCTGTACACACCCTCTGTTAACTTTTCATTTTGAAATAATTATGGAGCCGCGAGAAGTTGTTAGACTAGTATGGAGGGCTCCCGGCACCCTTTCCCCATCTGATCCTGGTGGCAACATCCGACATGAGGCAGGGCATTGCTGAAACCGGGACAGTGACCTCACAGTGACCAGACCTCAGACCCTAACTCGGGGGTACCTGTCTTTCCATGCTCCCGTTCCTGTGTGTGTGGAAAGTTTCATGAGATCTAGCCATATGTACAGAGTTGTTATACACATTTTTAAAATAAATTTCACTGTTTAGAATTGTTTTTAGATTTAGAAAATCATTGAGAAGACAGCAGAGAATTCCCATAAACCCCGCGCCCAGTTCCCTTGTTGCTAACTTCCTACACTGGGGTTTGTGTTAATGAGCCAATATTGGTACATGTGTGTTAACTAGAGTCCACAATTCCAGGTTACCTTAGCCGTTACCTAATGTCTTCCTTCTGTTCAGGATCCTGTCTAAGACACTTTTTTTTTTAAATGGAGGTGCTGGGAATTGAACCCAAGGACCTTGTGCATGCTAAGCAGGCACTCTAACACTGAGCTACACCCTCTCCCACTAAGACGTGCATTTTGAAAGGGACTTTGCCACAATGTATTCCTCCAGTTTGTAATCCTGCCTCTTCTCCCATGTTAAGAATATTTTATCAAAGCATCACTGACTGGCTTTTTTGGGGGGGTGTGGGGGTGCTAATTAGGTTTATTTCTTTATTTGTTAAATGGAGGTACTGGGAATTGAACCCAGGACCCCATGCACGATAAGCAGGCACTGTACCACTGAGCTGCACCCTCGCGCCATCCCTGACTGTTCTTACACGTCACTTTGAATGGCCCTCTGCTCGCCCCATTGTGTGGGCGTCCCTACGAGGACCTTCAGAAGGAGCGCTTCGCTCCCTCTTGGCTTCTTTGGTCATGTCAGTGCCCCCTCACAGGGTGGTCCAAGGAGCGGGCCTGGCATCCCTTTCTTGTGATGTGGGGCAGATCTGGGGCCACATAGGCGTCTCCAGGCCCCCGGGTCTCCAGACTGAACGTGGTCACACAGGAAGGCAGCGAGTGGCAATGGGATGGTGCCGGGTGGAGGAAGAGGCTGGGGCCGGCTCTGCCCGCTGCAGCCCTGTGATCCCAGATGAGGCCCACCACCTACGTATGACCACACAGCCCAATGATTGCCTGGGTTAGAGTAGCTACTCACATCCGGGGCCGTTTCTGCAGGGTCGTTGGCTCCCACCCGCTCTACGGCCTTTCCAGGCAGGGCTGTGAGCAGCAGTCTGGCCGACAGGATGTTTCTCCACAAGCCCATTGAGAAATCCCTCTGAAAATCCTCTTTTGGCCCTGGGTGCGGGCAGGCGAGAGAATTGAGGACAATGGGGACCATGAAACGAAAGACAATTGTTGCGCTGTCCCAGCAGGGTCAGTGGATGCCCTGGGCCAGGGCAGGCTGACCATCAGGCAGGTGCCTGGATTTCTGCCCACCACGGGGGTGGCCACGGGGCTGGGGAGTCAGGCCAAGCCCCAGGCCTGGGGTGCCACACTGCATCCTGCAGAGCTCGGAGTTTAACTTCAGGGCTGCGTGCTTTGCAGGAGGTCCAGACACCCAGCGGGTCTGCATGGCTTGGTGTGGCGTCCTGTGTCCTATTTTCAGAGATCTGTCCCTCGACCTCGCCCAGGTCTTCGCTCTGTTGAGCACAAGCTTTATGAAGAAATGGTGCCGCTGTGAGTGTGGGCCTCTGATCTCCAGGTGTGGGGTGCTCTTGCCCCGCTCCGTCCAGTCCTGGTGCTGGGATTTCCACCCCCTGCCCCCAGCACCCAGCTCTGCTCCAGCGTTCCTGGAGCCAGCCTCCCGCGTGGCCTCCCTGCTTCCAGGGTCTCCACCTCTAGCCCTCACTCTGCCCTTCCAGAATGTTCTTCCTGAAACACAGTCCCCACCTTGTGTCCAGCCCGCAGGGACTGTAAGCCTTAACATCAAGTTCAGGCTCCTGGGAACGGATGGAGGTACCCTGTGAACTGCCCCTGACTCCTTTTCCATGCCACTCTCCCATCTCTTCCAGAAGCTTCTGTGTCCCCAGGCCAGTAGCAGTTCCTGAAAGCCATCCAGGCATTTCCATACCCCGTGCCTTTGCCCTTTTCCACCTCCAATCCCCTTCCCCTCTTTCCATCCCCTCCTCTCCATTCATTTGGAAAATCCTGTTTATTTCCAAGCTGTGGTTGAAATGCCGCCCCCTCTTTTCAGGTTTCTAGCCCACCCCTCCTCCCATGCCCAGAATATCCTTCTCCCCTTCCCCCCATTGCTTAGCGTGCTTCATTCTGTCTGGGCTGTGGCCGTTTCCACGTCGGCCTCTGCTGTGAATTCCCCGGACGCCCCGTATCCTAACCATTGTTGGTGCGGGGAGCGCCCTGGTAGTGGCTGGTGCCCCTCCTGCTCAGTGCTGCCGAGAGCCACACCTGGCTGCCCAGTCCCTCCTTCCCCCGGTGGCCAGTCCCCCTTGCTTCCTGTCCCAGTGGCTCTGCCCATCCCAGTGACCGAGTTCCTGGAAGGTGTCTGCTCTCCAGCCGTGGCCCCAGTGGCCTCAGGAATCCGAGGCTTGGATGAAAGGGTCCGCCCTGCCCCAGTGACTCATTCCAGGGTGTATGTGGTTTGCCGCAGCGTCTATGCTGGGTGACTCCGTGCCCCAGCCCCAGGCTGACACCCAGAGCTGTGGGACTGAGCCCGATGTGGGTGGGCAGGGATGTTGGCCTCAGGCCACCTTTGGGCAGACAGCCTGACAACCCTCTGTGATCCTCATGAGTAAGAAGAGGATGATGAGGGTCAGGGGACGTGACCACAGGCAGGAGTTGGTGTGCGCCCTCCCCCACCGCCTTCCTGCACTTTCAGCCTCTTAGGGGCAGGGGAGTGGGCGGGGCTCTGAGAGTCACCGGGCAGCTGGCCGCTGTCCCACACCCTCCTGGGCCTCAGGGGCACCCCACCTGCCCTCAGCAATCCAGAATCTGCTCCTTGCCTTTGGGGCTCTGCCCCCTCCTCCTGTTTCTTGTCTGTGCTGTTGGGGGCTGGGTTTGGGAAGGCTAAGAGAAGGTTGGGGTGAGTTAGTGGCCCCCTGGCTGCCAGGGGCATTTGGAGCTCCCAGGGCCCTGGGGTGCCCTGTGGGTCGTGCGGGGCAAGCTGGCGGGAGGCTGGGGCTGAGGGCTCCCCCTGCCTGTCCCTGAGCCCTGATTCTCCTGGCTGTGGAGTCAGCTACCAGCTTCTCGGATTAACCGAACTGTAGCCGATGACGCAGGAGGCTGAGGAAGTGTGGCCTCTCTCTGTGTCCCCTAGAACAGGGCCCGGGTTCTCTCTGAGCTGAGTTGAGCAGGAGTGGGGAGCAGGGCCCTTGGTTTGTAAGGAAGCTGAGGGAATTGACTTGGGAAAGACATGGGGCGGGCAGGCGGGAAGGAAGGGGCGAGGTGTGAGTGTGTGTGTGAGAGAGTGTCTCTGGGTGAAAGTATGTGAGTAGCTACATGAGTGACTGTGTGTGTGTGAACGTGAGTCTCCATCTGCCCACACAGCCTGTTCCCACTCCCCTTGGTCACATTCAGTGGCCTAAAAGCATCCTTCCCCACAGCTTCTATTTTTGCTTTCGACCTTTAGTTAAATGCTCACAACTGCTGGGCCTTTGGTGGGATGGTGAGTTTATCACGTGTAAGTGGGAGAGAGGACAGTTTCATTGCTTTTAGCACCAATGCTGCTCGCCCAGCCCCTCCCAAGAGTGGGGCCGACTTCTCTAAGCTCTTTCTTGGGGTGAGGATTTAACGATCCACCAGGCGGTATGACTGCGCCCATGGAAGGGTCTAGGTGACAGGTGGGTGCACTCTGCATCCGTGTTGGTGTTTGCACACTCATGGCACCCTCCCTCCATCCACAACCCCTGATGAGTGTGTGGAGGTGGGCAGTTGCTGGCCTGCACCCCTGGGGTGCCCAGGCAGAGGTCGGGGGTACCGGAAACACTTGCCTTTCCACTGTGTCTGAAGCCTCAGTGCAGGTGAGGAAACTGAGGCTAGAGCACGGAGGGGGCTGTCCTGTTCACGCAGCGGATGCCTGGCAGACCCAGGTGGCCCTGAGCCCTGAGGTCCCCTGGAGGTTGGTGCCCAGGAGATGCCAGACCATGATACAGAGACGTGGAGGGGCTGGGCTTCCGACATAGGGGCGGTGTCCTCACCGTGGCATCCCCGTGGTGTCCCAGTGGTGTCCCAGTGACATACCTTGGAACCTGTGGGCCAGTGGAGGAGGAGGAGCCCTGGGGACATGCCCAGGGGTGGGGTGTTCAGTGTGACTTGCCGCCTACATGCTGGGCAAGTTGTCCACCTCTCCTGGCTCAGTCTCCCAAGCTGTGAAGTGGGTCAGGGACACCCAGGAGGTCCTGTGCACATTGGGGACACCCACGTGGCACTAAGCAGGTTCTTAAATGGTGGAGATGCCTTTGTTCATCTAATACGTGTTTTTAAGCACCCTGAGCACGAGTGATGCGCAGGATGCAGACTGGAAACCAGAGAGGAGGTAGGCCGGGAGCATTGTTTCTGGGGTTGGAACCGCTCCAGCTCGGCGAAGGTGCAGTCACATCCCCTGCCGATGTCTGCTCTGACACTGAGGCCTCTGGCCAGCTGCACAGCTGACTGGGGAGTGGGGGTCCCTGGGGCTTATGGTCATGGGTGCCCACTGTGTGCCCAGGTCATCTGGGTAGGGTGGGACAGCTCATCAGTGGGTGTGGGTAGGGGCTCTGATACAGACATCCAGGGGTGGGCAGGGTGGTGTGGAAAGAGTTGCTGACTTGCTGTGTTACCTCGGGCATATGGCTTACCCTCTCTGAGCCCCAGTTTCCTGCAGAGTGACTGATAGTCTGTCCCTCCCCACCCCACCCAGAGTCCCCGGGGTATTATGGGGTAAGAGGATTATAAACCTGAAAGAGGAGTGCAAATGTTTGCTGCTGTAGGAGCAGCCCTCATCAGGAGCCCTGTTCTCACCAGGTTTTGTGGGAAAGAGCTCGGGGTAAATGTGGACTCTGGGGGAGCTGCAGGTGAGCTCTGTGACCATTTGCTCCCTGCATGAGCCCGGCGTCCCCGTGTGGACGTGGGACTCAGCTCCTTGTTGATTACTCCCTGAATCTCCCACGTTCTTGGAGGTGAGGTTCACGGCATGGGAGTGGCTGGCGCTGTACTGTCCCGGGACAGTGCATTTCCATGTAGAGGTAATGGTGAGCTTCCTGGGAGCTCCTTCTCCTGGGCCAGCCTGGTCCCGTGTGTAGGAGTAAGAAGGGACGCCACATATTGTGTGGCCAGCTCACCCCGTTTGCAGTGACTCCCAGGACCATACTCGCTGTCTTGAGGCCTCTAGCCCTGGGTTTTAGATGTGGTCAGTGGGGAAGGTTAGCCGCCACACTCTAATTGTTATTTTACTAAGGCATCTAGAAATCTCCACCAAATAACCCCTTGGGTGTGCCCTTGGCCCGCTTTGTGGGATTGTGGTTTCTCTTTGGGGATAGAGGATGCGACCATCAGTCCAGCCATGCCCATCAGGGGCATGGACAGGGGAGGCTCGTGGAGGGGGAGGTACATGCAGCTGGTTTTCCTTAGGTTTCCTATTGCTACTTGAGTTCTGGACGAGAGTGGAGGGGATCGTCAGCCCACAGGTATCTAATTTGGCCTGGGAGGCGGTTCAGATTTCTGATGTCCACTCCTGTCGCCCCGCACCCCACCCCCCTGGCCAGCAGCTGTGAAATGCAGACCATCTGCGAGGGTCAGCCTGTGGGCAGCAGGCTGACCTCTGTCCTAGGTGTCCCGAGGCAGCTCTTCGGCCTGGAAGCCGCCCTCTCATTGGTTCTGTTTGCTCTCTGACAGCCTGTGACTGTCCCTGTGACTCAGGGCAGGGCTGGGAAGCCTAGGATGGGCCAGTCTCTGCTGCAGGGTGTGCAGGTCTGCCGCGTTGTACACCCGTTTGTGAATGATTTCCTCTGATGCCGGCAGCGGGCATTTTTGTAGAGCTTTGAGGTCCAGGGGGTTTCCTCCCTTACCCGTTGGGTCCTCATGGCAGCCCTGCTAGGCCCATTACCGATGGAAGGGGACCCGGCTCTCGGAGTGAGAGCTGGGTGTCGGTGCCCTCTGCGCCCTGCAGGGGTGAGCACCTCCGTGACAGACTGGAGCGCTGGGCCCTGCAGGGTGAACGGGGTCCCAGCGGGACCCTGTTGGCAGTGGGGGCCCAGCACCCTGCTCGTGAGTCACGGGGCCTCGCCCCAGGTCTCTGCCACTCCCCTTGCTCAGTGCCGCCCACTAAAGCCTGCTGAGCGCCCTAATCCCAGCAGTGGCCTGGGGTCAGGAAGCGGCCCCACCCACGGCTCCTGTGTCAGGGAACTGGCCGGTCCTGGGCCAGCTACACAGGAAGGAGGAGGCACCGATCGTCTCTGCAGAGGCCAGGACCAAGCCCCTTTCTGGATGAAATCCTGAAAGCCACCCTCTGGCTGCTGTCCCGACCCTCCAGGAAGCCTTTCCTCCCTGTCGCTGGGTGAAGCCATTTGCTTGGTGACCTTGCTTCTCAGGAACTCCAGACATAAAGATGGGACAACCCACTGGATGGCCAGCGTCCCCCTGAGCATCTTCCATCCTCTGTCCCTGTGCCTGACCTATGACCTTGTTAACCTCCAGAATGCCCTGTGGCAGGCCCTCCTTTGGTCCTGTTTTGCACATGTGGGAACAGGTTTAGGAATGTGCCCAGGTCATGGAGCTGTGAGTGGTGGGGCCGCAGGCAGACCCCCGCCTGCCCAGCTGGTGCACTGCTCAGGGAAGGCACAGGGACCAACCAAATCATTTCACTTTGATGCAGCCCCTGGTCGGGGCTTGGAACCCAGCAGA